GAAATCAAACTTATTATTACAGTATGCTCGGCTTAAAACATGTATGAGTACTGCAAGGACTAGAAGAAACAGGAAAAATCGTAATAAAAATATTTGTTGATAGGCATTGTGAAAGCAAACCTCGAAATATCCATTTGTAAGCTGTAAGAGCATAAGCACAACCATATGGGAGGAGATAACCAGTCTCTCCCTTCATATATATTCTTTTTTATTTCTTGTTATACCTTCCCAAAACAGAGACATTCAACAGTAGTTAGAATGGCCATCTCCCAACATTTTAAAAAAACTGCACCCCCCAATGGGTGAACAAAGTAAAGAGTAGTAACCTAGAGTTCAGCTGAGTAAGCCACTGTGGAGCCTTAAGTGGTGAGGTCTTCCAATTTCAGAGTGATGTGTCTTCAACTTGTATCATCATTTTAGCGGAAAAACATAATTTAATTTTGGTGAAATGAGATTCATCTCGCGACAGGATTAGTAACAGCATTCACTGAATTTCACATTCTTCTTTTGTGAACTGTGAAGAAAATGAATGGTAGCTAGAAGATCAATGGGATTCCAGCTCCAGCTGCAGATGGAATGATGATATACCAGGACAAAAAACACCTATATTTTGATTTACAAAGCTAACAGCAGTTTTAAATCTGCAACTTAATTACAGACCAACTACACCACAACCTTTTCAAATGGCAAAAATACAAAAAAGTGTTACAAAAATATTTCAGAAAAAGTGCATAGTCTAAGTGCATAGTAAAGAAAAGCACTGAAAAATATCTTGCTAGAGGGAGTTCAGCTTGGAAAAGTTATTACCAAAGCTAAACAGTTTTATTTTACACAAACTATACTCAAAAATAGCTTTATGAGACCAATTTCTGGCTAAAAGTATCAAAGGGTTTATTAGTCAAGAAACAAATACCTCAACTGACAAGGGTGGATAGAAAAGAAACAAAAAAGCTGCCTACCCCAAAAGTTCAGACTTAATAAGATTTCTTCAGTATTACGGTACTATCTCCCTTAATGGCAGAATGTGATAATCATGGAATTAATTATTGCTAAAGTAGTTTTCAAATAAAAAAAAGAAAAAAAAGAAAAAAGAAAACAAAACAAATTAAACTTGACACAATCTGACCAAACACGTGTCAATTTACAATTTCAATGTTATTTTACAAAATACCTACATTTACACAATAGGCTCCTGGCAGCATTTCCAGACAAATGCTCTTTTAATTTATCCTGACATGCTATAAATGAATAAATTACACTACTTTAAAATTATCATCAGTAAGTTTTCCTTTCTCTTGGGTCAGAGAAAAAGAAATGAGCGTGCAAAGAAAATTGAGAGGAAGCGCACGCACACAGATAAAGACAGATAAAGAAGCAGGAGGGGTTGGGGAGGGTCAACGATCACTGAACCTCACACAGTGTGATGCTCTCCAAGGGTGAAAGTCAACTGCTTATAGCCATTTCACAAGTATTTTAAAGAAAAACGTTTTATAGGAAAACCCTTTAATGCTTTCATCTTTATTCAAAATCAGTCTAGCTGCTAGTCAGCGGGCAGCAGCTACAATACCAAGTTCTGGCAGTTGCAGTACTAGATATTGTGCCTGCAAGTCATAAAAAAACAAAAATGAAAGAATGCCTTTCCCCTTCAGACAAAAGAATTAGATTTTTTTTTTTTTAAAGGAAAAGTTAACACGAAACCTAAATTGACTTGCAAAGGAATACCATGTAACAAATGGCTTAAAGTAGTCTATCAAAAAATTGGGGAGATTTTTATTTTATAGTGAGTCAGCAAGGCATTTTTGTTGTTTAAAAAAAAATCTCATTTCCTTACAGAAACAGTTTTTAGTTTTTAATGAACTTGTAAACAAAAAAGCTCCCATTTCAAAATAAAAACAAAATCCCAGATCATATAGATGTTTACAGTGATTACATTTATCTAAGCAACATACATACATGTTCAGTTGTAAGATGTTAACTAAATTTCTGTGACAAATATGCTTCGTTTTTTTTTTTTTTAATACCAAGAACATTATAGAGTTAATGCAGAGTCCTAAGGATAATCTAGTAGTCACTAAGTTTTTCTTAAGTCTTCACTTTAGATGCTGTTATTTCTAGCACAATTAAGCAGGCAGAGTCTTTCATATGCTCAAACACTGGAATCTTTGGTTGCTACCGTATCAGCTGGCTTGCAGACAAGAAGCCAACCATTTTAAGAATGTTTTAAGTGAACAACTTGCAAACCCCAGGGATGGAAAAACCCTAAGAATGCACAATTGTGAGCATTTACAACCATCACAACTGTGGCTGAAGACTGTTCATGCCGTTCTTCTGAAATGAGATCTCAAAGCAGTATAGTTCAAAACAAAAGGTTTTAACAAAAAATTGGCATATGCACAATTTCTCCACCAATTTGTGTGTCAACCATTTAGTTAACTTTTCCACTTGAAAAAATGCAATAGAAAACCGGACACCATGTTTCACTATCTCAGTTAATATTCACAATTACAGCGGCTACAACTCAGGATACAGCATCACCAATGCTGCCCAGAGTCAGTTTATACTGAAATTAAGTTCTTTACACCAAGTAAATGGTTGTCCACAACCACTGGCTAGTGTACATATGAACTAAAATTTCTAGATTTGGGGAGAAACAAATGCTGCTCCGATCATCTGCTCTGCTTCTTCTGTTCCTCAGTTCATGCTTAGAAACCTGGTAAAAAAAAACAAAACAAAACAAAACAAAATGTTAAAATTCCAAGTTAAAAATTTTAAATTACACCCAGAATATGGAAATTGGGTGGAACTGAGCCAATAATTACTTTATAGTGGCTCATGTTATTTTGTCTCTTGTGAAAAGCATTAGCTCAACCTTTTAAAACAGAAAAACATGAAATCTATACTTAAAACTAGTTTTTCTGTTTTGAATGACTCTAGGAAGGAGTGGTACAATGAATTCAAAGCCTCTCAGCATACTAAAATAATTATCAGTAATTCAAATGAGCATGTTGCTATTCACTTCTGTATTTTTAGTACCTAGAACATATTATGCACTCAAATATTTATCAAATCAACAAAAAACAGATTGCTTCACTTTAAAGAACGCAATTTTAATCCTACCATGAGCAAAAACTTTTCTGCACATTATTTCTGACACAAATTAAAATGGTAAGTTCAATAATAAATGCATTCAAGGCATAATTATCTAAATTATTTTACTAATCAAAGATCAGAGAAGCATGTATTTCTGTAGAGAAACCTTAGATAGACCTTTGAAACTTCTTTACCAGCTGCATTAGAAAGATGGTTTTGTGATAAGCAAGTGATGCTTTTCTGGATTTATTTTCTTCTCAAGCCTACATATTCTGCACATACTTCCCTCCTCCACCACAAGTAGACCCTAGGGCCTCTATATAAGCCCTAGGCCAAGTTTGAATACAAGAAGCTTCAGGTCATAACTGCACAGTTTACCTACATCTAAAGGCAAACAGAGAAAATTTTCAGCAATAGCCTGAAAATCCATTAGGCGCCTTTTTCCCTTTCACCAGACACCCACTCTGAGGCACCCCTCTGTCCCCAGCTCCTTACATATGAGCTAGAAACTATAGCTCCTTCTAGCCCACTCCAATCTCTCCTTACTTCTTTAACCTAGGTCAAGTTTTCCTCAATCACAAACTGCTCCTTTTTTTTTTCCTTCTTCTTTTTTTCCCTTTGAGATAGAGTCTCACTCTGTAATCCAGGGTGGAGTGCAGTGGCACAATCTCGGCTCACCATAATCTCGTGTCCTGGGTTCAAGCAATTCTCCTGCCTCAGCCTCCTGAGTAGTTGGGACTACAGGTGCCTGCCGACACTCCGGGCTAATTTTTGTATTTTTAGTAGAGACGGGGTTTTACTGTGTTGGCCAGGCTGGTCTCAAACTCCTGACCCCGTGATCCACCCACCATGGCCTCCCAAAGTGCTAGGGTTACAGGCATGAGTCACTGTGCCTGGCCTTATTTACTTTTTAAACATTTGTTGAGCTATCTCCCATGGGCTTTGTGGGAGAAATAAAATAATTCTCATGTTTATTTCTTATTATGAATATATGCCTGTTTGGAGGGAAAGAATAGTAAACATACAACAGAGTAGATACATAATAGATCTTTTGCTGCCTGGGTACTAAGTCCATAAGAAGCAAATGCCAAAAATGAAAGATAACAAAACTTTGACAATATATTTCACCACAGGGAACATTATTTGATGCACGTTATTAAGAAGTATTAGCGAGGCCGGGCGCGGTGGCTCACGCCTGTAATCCCAGCACTTTGGGAGGCCGAGGCAGGTGGATCACGAGGTCAAGAGATCGAGACCATCCTGGTTAACACAGTGAAACCCCGTCTCTACTAAAAATACAAAAAATTAGCTGGGCATGGTGGCGCATGCCTGTAATCACAGCTACTCAGGAGGCTGAGGCAGGAGAAATGCCTGAACCCAGGAGACGGAGGTTGCAGTGAGCCGAGATCGCGCCACTGCACTCCAGCCTGGGTAACAAGAGCGAAACTCCATCTCAAAAAAAAAAAAAAAAAAAAAAAAAGAAGAAGAAGTATTATCGAGGCAAAGCTTTCTTTTAAAGGCTGTCAAACCAAACCCTTAATAAAAAAAAAAAAAATCTGACTATACCCTAATTTCAATTTTAAAATACAGGATAAGTTTCAAGCTTCTTGTTAGGGAGTTAAGAAAAAAAATTACAAGGCAGGATAAGCTATGCAGGTTAAGAATCTAAGGATTAAACACAAATGGCCCTTCCCCCATCAGAATTTGGTTTTAAGTCCTGCAATTATTCTTAAACACAATTAAAAAAAACATGTTTTCACAATTACTAAAATTGCTGGGTTTTATCATAGTTTTCTTATGTAATCGTATTAAACTAATCATTATGGTGAATATACCAAATGGCTTTCAAACGGAAAAACCACCATCACTAACAAACTAAAATGGAAACATGTTACATTGTCAGTCAAAACACTAAGAAACTCTTATGCCTTTAATATCAGGGAAACTCAAATTGAAATACATCTGTACATCTTTTAGCCTGTTGTCTGAGGAACTGCTGAGTCAATAAATGATTACAATTGTTTAGAAACCGGTAAAAGGCTAGCCTAACAGTATTCTGGTAGAATAGAGCAGTCAAAAATACAGCTTTAACTCTTCAGATGGGTCAATGGTATGCTATTCCACCAAGGGTTCAACATTTTTCCAGTCAACTGTCCTAAGATGTTTCTGAAGTATGTTTAGGAAAAAAGAAAAAACGTCAATAGGAATATTCAATTAGGTATTCAACATTCAATCTTCAAGTACTAAGCATTATTTTCTCCAGTATGTATTAGTTTTTGTTTTTTTATCTTGCAGATTAGGTGGCTTATCCAGGCTTCCAAAAGTTCAAGAACCCATCTTCATTGTAGTATCAGTTAAAATGAGGAATGAATCCCTTTGGTCCTTAAGAGAGAGAGAGAGAGAGAGAATGGAAAAAAGTTAAAACAGAGCCGGATGATTAAGAAGTTAACAGCTAAATTACTTTTTAAATCTGCAAAAAGAAAAAAAATATATTTTTATGTAACTAACAAGGAGATTTATCCCTGCTCACCCCCCAGTCTGAAATCTAAAATGTATGTTCTGGCCCAGACAGGTGGCTCATATTTGTAATCCTAACACTTTGGGAGGCTGAAGAAGGAAGATCACCTAATGCCAGGAATTCCTGGGTATAACATATATATTTATATATTTATACATATAAATAAACCAGGGCAACATAGTGAGACCTATATGTAAAAAAAATAAATAAAAGGTATGCGTTGTTTTTCTTTCGATGTGCTAGACTTATAACTCCTGGGCTGAAGAGATCCTACCACCTCAGCCTCCCCATACAGTGTGTATCTGTTGTCATTTATAAATTAACTTCAGATGTTTCTGATTTTTAAATCAGAACCAGACACTAGTTCAAAGGGATATTTATGTAGTACTAAGGCTTGTAAGTTTGTGATGGGGCTTCTGAAATTAGGATCCCTTCACATTTTTACAAGACAACTTTTTAAAAGTTATTTTGAATATAATATTCATTATGCTATGTCATTTATACTAACTTTTCCTATAACATGGTCGTGCGTGTGTGTTTTAATTATTTAAAATAGAGACGAGGTCTCCCTATGTTGCCCACGTGGTTCTCAAATTCCTGGGCTCAAGTGATCTTCCCATCTCACCTCGAAAATGCTGAGATTATAAGAGAGAGCCACAGTGCCTGGCCACTTATGTGGTTCTTTTAGTTGCACATAATTAAGCTTGGAGAATTTTAAATCAAATTGGCAGTATCTAAAGTTAAAGAAAAATTAAAAAAAAAAAAAAAAACCAAACCCTATAATTCTTCTTTCCCTACAGAAACTAATGGAAGTTATGTTTTTAACACTACAAATGAGATAAATGACAATTTTTAAGTATAGGGAGTATACATCATTCCTAAACAGCATTAAAAAACAGACTGAATTCTTCTGTCTTCCTTATAACAGAATTCATTCTGCTACACATTTCTGATGTTACAGAGTTTTAAAATACCTGTTGTAATTAATTCTTTCCCCAGCTGGTAGATGGTCTCATTGAACACCACTCAGTCCCAGCAACACTGTATTCTTCCAGGTCTTCTAACAGTTGTGCTATCATCCAGAAGATCTAACAAGTTGCAAAATTTGAAGGTCCAGCAGCCTTGGAGACGTGGACTCCAGATGACCACAAACCAACTCTTGCACTTTCATCTATCTGCATTTCCAGCTGGGTTATTTAGATCTTCTTTCCAGCTTTACTGTCCACAGTAAAGAAAATCTGACAAAAATTCAAGGCTTCAGCAAGAAGATGTAGTTCCCTGGCACTTCTTTGAATTGAGTGTATTCAGGGCAGTGTATTCAGACCGATCAGTTCGTCCAGATATTTCAAGATCTTCCCCTGTGATCTGGTTGTGCTGCTGAATGACCAGCACATTCCTAGCAGCAATTGGCGAAGTCAGAAAAAAGTTAAACTAGGCATAAATGGTAGATGCAGCCCAGGAAAACTGGAAGGTAGTTCAAGGAATACTGTGGACATGGTCGGTCCATTTGATAGAAAAATAATCATTTGTAATCTCCTTTGAATGTCAACACTTTGATAGCTACCTATACTAACAATAAAACTCTACTTGGTAACTATGGTTAGGGTAGTAAACAGATGGGTTAGAGAACAGAATAGTAGAATTATGTAAGAATCCACCTTTGGGTTCACTACCTTCCGAAATTCTCCTCCACCTCTGCCCTCAACTAAAGAAACACTGAACTTCATTGGATTTTGAATGTTCTAAAAATATTTCCTTTTCCTTTACTTATTTTTAATGTCTTGAAAAATACTTTTTTGATAATCCCATATAGTCAAAGGGAGAGAAATGGATTTCAAAGTATGTTGGTGCGAAATGTATGTATTTTTCTTCTGAACATGAATAAAAACATTAATTATAGGCCGGGCGCGGTGGCTCAAGCCTGTAATCCCAGCACTTTGGGAGGCCGAGGTGGGTGGATCACGAGGTCAAGAGATCGGGACCATCCTGGTCAACATGGTGAAACCCCGTCTCTACTACAAATACAAAAATTCAGCTGGGCATGGTGGCGTGTGCCTGTAATCCCAGCTACTCAGGAGGCTGAGGCAGGAGAATTGCCTGAACCCAGGAGGCGGAGGTTGTGGTGAGCCGAGATCGCGCCATTGCACTCCAGCCTGGGTAACGAGCGAAACTCCGTCTCAAAAAAAAAAAAAAAAAAAAAAAAAAAAAACACATTAATTATAATCTTGTGGTAATTGAACCTTAAAAGCAGTACAGATAGTAATTGGCATAAAGGGAAAGGCCTTGTTTCTTGACCTTTTGATGGGCTTTGGAATGGAGTATTTGAAAAGCCCTAAAGAATATAACAAAGACAAAAGTCTGTCTATTATTTAATAGGCCCACATTAGCTACATAAGCCAGACTTAAAGAATCTTTAAACATTCCTAGTAAGTTACTAAAACAACACCATTTTTACTAGAGAAATATTAGATATATTTTTCAAAAATAACCATATAAAACATGAGTAAATGTTACCATTTGAGGGATTTTCCTACATTAGAGATTTACTTGCTTAACGTACTCATGACACTTAATAATACTAAAGCCTCTGAAAATTTAACTCTGTCAAGAGCAAATGATAAAATGCATTCAAAAAGCACCTTTTAAAAATTCTTTTTCGCGACACAGGGTCTCATCTGTTGCCCAGGCTGGAGTGTAGTGGTATGACTACAGCTCACTGCAGCCTCAACCTCCAGGGCTCAGGTGATACTCCAACCTCAGCCTCCCAAAGTAGCTGGGACCCCAGGCGTGTACCACCATGCCTGGCTTTTTTGGGGGGGAGTGCTGGAGGGGCTGGACAGGGTCTTACTACGTGGCCCACGAAAGGATAGAATTCCTGGAGGCAAGCAATCCTCCTACATCCTCCCACCTCAGCCTCCCAAATATGTTGGGATTACAGGCACGAGCCACTGCGCTTGTCTTAAAAGTTTTTAACTAGAAAAACCTAGCAGGACGTTTTCATTATTATTAAAAGGATTTACTGGGATCAATGAATCATTGAGCTGTATGAGTTCTTTTTTTTTGAGACAGTATCACTCAATCACCCAGGGTGGAGTGCAGTGGCTCAATCTTGGCTCACTGTAACCTCTGCTTCCCAGGTTCAAGCGATTCTCATGCCTCAGGCTCCCAAGTAGCTGGGACCACAGGTGCACGCCACCACACCTGGCTAATTTTTGTAAAGACGGGTTTTCACCATGTTGGCCAAGCTCTTGAAACTCCTGGCCTCAAGTGATCTGTTGGCCTCAGCCTCCCAAAGTTCTGAGATCACAGGCATAAGCCACCACGCCCAGTTGAGTTACTTCTTAAATAAAAAACCACTATAGTGGACCTGAAGAGACGATGCTTTCAAACGCCCTTGTTACTTAGAGACTGGAAGCAGGAATAACCCAGGGCAATTGTTTTCTAATTCCAGAACTCCTAGAAGATTTCTTAAAGAACAATCTGCTGGGCTGGGGGTTGAAATTAGGAGACTATGTTCCCAATGCTTATTGCATACCTAAGACCCTAAGACCATCCATATTTTCATGGTTTATGAGGGTTTCATGTAAGATTTGTCTTGAGCACTAAGTTTTGTATTAAAAAACAAATGGGTGTTTTCAAGATGTCAAAGAGCAAAAAGGAGTCTGTGTTAGGTGAAGCGGCACTTTTTGGTAGCAATACAGATGTATGGCCTTTGAAGTGTATCTATGAAAAGCAGTCAATGACATATAATGTGTTTTAGGAAAAGTCTAATTTTTCAAGTCCATGTTTATGTGATAATTTGTATGACCACTGTGTCTAATGGTGCCATAAAATTTGTATAAGATTTTAAGTTGCTTTTATGAAAAATAGCTACAATACAAAACAAGGATTAAACAAGTTTAATTACAGTCCCCCCCCCCCCCCCCCCAAGGAAACATCCCAACTGAGTGGATCCAACTTCTCATCTTTACAACCTGGATAAGGCAGGACAAAAATTCTGCTCATTTATTGAATAAGAGACACAAAGTAAACTAACAAAGGAACTAACTCAAAAAAAAAGTTAATTCTTTCTGAAGTCTGCTGAATGCCTGAAGTAAAATGTTCTAGGTCAGATGAGATTTCAATCTAATTATAGTTACAGAAACTGCAACTTGTGATGATCCTATTATCCCAGCTAGCTTCAGGCAGAATTGGTCTCATTTTGTGAGAAAAAGCACAATACACTGTAGGTGTCTGGTGTAGCAGGTCCTTCGGTTAGAGACTCTTACTTAAATGGTAGGACTGTTTTTCAGTGACACTAGCTACATGACACATTATGACACATAATCTTGGCACTATGATTAGTTATACAATGATTAAAACACTGAAAAGGGGCAATTAAGGACCAACTGAGATGCAGAGGCAGAGCACTGTGCGAACATTAGTGTTTGCTATCCTGAGTTTAAATGTCACCATCTGAAAATCCCAATGACAATAAACCATCAACTTTGAATCCTTCCCAAATACAGAAACATGTAAGAGAAGCATTTCAACTTCATTCCTAACAGATGAGCTCCCAGGATGAGGATGACATCAGTTATTAATATTTCTTGAAAAGAATCTTCAGATTAGAATCTACTTTTAAATTATAAAATAGTTTAAATACAACACTAAAAATGTGAAGCAAATATTAATCCATAAAGGCCAAGTTCAGACTAGAGCAGTCATTCAGAAATTTAAAAATTAGAAACCAAAAGCCAAATCTTACTTGCCCACTACTTCCAGAAAGTAGGCAGCTATCAGGAAGTAGGCCCCAGAAACGGGAAAAGAAAAATAAAACATGAAAATGGGAGTCAAACTGTATGCAACAGTGTGCTCTAACAGTTCTACTCCTTACAGGCAGTAAGAGTGCCAGAGAAAGGTAGAAAGGAAGTAGACCAGCAGTTTCAATAGCATTTGCCCCAGTCATCTTCAATTTGCAAGGCCTGACTGTAGACTTCAATTGCACATTAAACCCTGAGAGCCTGATATTTGCAACATTGTAAAAAATAAAGCCAAAACCAAAGAAATTACTTTGAAATTAAGATCATATGTAGTTAAACTGCAAATAAGAGAATTATTTTTGTGACTAGAAAAGATGTGCTTAGTTTTGCAGTTATGTGAGCATTTAAGAGAGTAAATGAGATGCTCTGCAACTGAGAAGATGGACACTTCGGGGGTAATGCCAGACTCACCTCTTGATATTAGATCATGTTCACAATTTTCCATTTTAAATGCTAAAGCATTAACATGCAAAATAAAAAATCTTAACATTGTTAGTCTGAAATAAAGTCAAAATATGGCTAACCAAATTCATTATTAGAAATCAACAAGTGTTAGGTCTAGGATTTTGGATTGATTGATTATATTATATTATATTCCCAACACCAAATTTTTGGAAAGGGGGTTAATGAATGAGTAAAAAAGATGCAGTTGTTAAAAAATGACCCAAAATCCCAAGAGAAATGATATAATATAAACACATATATGTATATACAAATACATATACATATATATGAACAAGGACATTTGGGTTTAAAGTTAGTAGTCAAATTTTCCAAGGACGTCTTTTTTTTTTTTTTTAACACAGAGCCAAATTTTTACGTATTTTAAAACCACCTCCTTGATCTAACACTGTTAGAAATGAATGAATTACCCAATTTTGTATTCAATTTTTTCCCTGTAACGTCACTTGGTTCTTGGCTACTAACCTTTCATGTTACTCTTGGTTTTGTCAGTTTGCTTGCCTGTGGGGGTTTGGGCCTGCTGACCCTGCCCACTGGAAGAGGCTGCCTGCTGTGCTGCTTTCTGCTTTAACATTGTCCAATCAAATGTGTAGTCATATTGATGGTTCAGGGTCCTGGAAAAGGTAAAATATTTTATGTTGATCCTTCAATAATAGAGTCCAGTTATATAACCTACTAATGTTTTAAGACAGTGAGGGCACTTCTTCACACAACGAGTATTTCCTCAAGCATGGCAGCTTCTAAAATACTTCTCTTATTATAGATGAAAAAGGCAGCATGAAAACTTAAACACCGAGTCAAGCTGTCAATTACCTAGGGGAATACTTATAAGAGGAGGTACTTTCTAATAACAAGAGTAAATATTCAACTGGAAGTTTAGGAATAAGATATCTGACTGGTATCCTGGGAAGACACTTTTCTGGGGTTAAAGGGTTACCTGCCTTTTTTTTTTTTTTTGAGACAAAGCATGATCTTGGCTCACTGCAGCCTCCCAGGTTCAAGAAGTTCTCCTGCCTCAACCTCCCAAGTAGCTGGGATTACAGGCGCCTGTCACCATACCTGGCTGATTTTTGTATTTTTAGTAGAGATGGGCTTTTACCATGTTGGCCAGGCTGGTCTCGAACGCCTGGCCTCAAGTGATCTGCCCGCCTCGGCCTCCCAAAGTGCTGGGCGTTTACAGGTGTGAACCACTGTGCCTGGCCGATTACCTCAATTTTTATTCTCTCCCAACTAAGAGTTTGAGCCACATGTAATGTATTCTGTGCCAACCCCCTGCCCCCTACCACCCAGCACCTTGTTCAAGACGAATTCTGGGTTATGCCTTAGGAACATTACCCTAGTTTAGGACTGTCACCACATGATCAGATTCCATGACTATGTGATATTTTAATTGCTTTTCTATTTGGTACTGTAGCAAAGTTGGAGAGTTCCAGAGGGCACTAACAGTCACTTATATCTAATGTGAATTATAACTATTCTAGAAAAGTTACATTCTACTTTGAGTCTGATTCAACTCTCTATCCACTCCAAACTAAAATCATTTGAATAATATTTACACTACAAATAGAAAAATGCCCAATCAGTCCCAAATAAATCAGTTTCTTAAACCTTTTATTCATATTAGT